TGGAGCTGGGGGTGACAAAACCCCAAAAAGGCTGGTGGAGCTGGGGGGGACAAAACCCCACAAGTGCCAATGGAGCTGGGGTGACAAAGCCTCACAAAGGCCAGGGGAGCTGGTGGGACAAAACCCCACAAGGACCAGGGGATCTCAGAGGACAAAGCCCCACAAAGGCCAGGGGAGCTGGGGTGACAAAGCCCCACAAAGGCCAGGGGAGCTGGGGTGACAAAGCCCCAGCAGCTGTGGTTGGCAGGTCCCAAAAGGACATGCCCAGGTGGTGCTGCTGTGTGAGGCAGGTCAGAGATTTGCTCCTCACCCCCCTTCCCATCCACTCTGAGAAATGAGCTCCCCATGGAGCTCAAATCCTGGGAGTTTCAGGAGACCAGGAGTAACAAAAGGTGCTGTGGGGAAAACAGAACCAGATTTGTGTCTGTAAATGTCTTTTAGAGCTAAAAGTCTGCTCAAGCTGGAGCTGCTTTCCCTCAGTGAGGCTGAGACAGGACTGGAAAACCAGTGCAGAATCAAACCTTGGCACTCATGAATATGCATAAATTTGAAGGAGAATTATCTTTCAGCATTAACTCTTTAAATAAAGAAATAATTTGGCCACCTGCTGTCTGTGAAAGCTAACCTTGTTCTCTCATTTGTAAAAGGGAGTGGAAGGCTTCCAAAACTTTGAATTTTGAACCATTTCCTCTCCTCAGAAATTACACTGAAGACAAGCATTTAAGCTGTGAAAAATGGAGCTGAAACCTTTCATCTGGAGTTAACCCTGTTCTCCAAACCCTTTGCCAATCTGTATTTGTAACTCGTTTCCTAAATAATTTTGAAGCTTGAGGAAGGGCATTGATGGGAATTTCAGGCTCTTCATTTTGCTGTTTTATTCCCATGAATTGCTGTTTTCTCTGCTGCAGAACAGCAAGAGAGAGCTAATAAGTGTTCTGCTTGTTGGCTTTTCTGGGCAGTGCCAAGTGTCTTCTCTCAGTGGCCACGATGCACAGTTGCCCCTTTTCCTGTTTGGTTTTGGGATTGCAGTTGAATATTCTATCCCAGGCAGGGGAATGGTACCCTCTGGTCAGCCAGTTGTTCTCTGAGAATAATTTATGAAGAAAGAAAAAAATCAGAGAATTAATAAAGTTGGAGAATCTGTCTAGCAATGTGGGTTTAGTATGAGAAAAAATGGCTTTTTTCTGCATTATATTCCTGATTTTTATATGAAGGTTTGTGCTTGAGTTTTTTCTGATTTCTGAGCTGGTTGTGGGAAATGAGACTTCCTAAAACACAGTGGGTTTGGATTTAGACACACAATGAGCTATCCCAGAAAAAGCAGGATGTGAATTTAGTGTCAGGCAATGGGAACCCTTTTCCTTTGCCATAAATAGGAGCTGACTTCTTGTTGGGGTTGGGGTTGTGTGTGCAGGTGTGGTGTTGGTGTCTGTCTGTCAGATTCCTCACTCAGCACCTGGCAGCCGCTTCTCTGAGCCTGCTCCTCTGCAGATGGGCAGGAATTCCCTGATTGATCCTGGATTCAGGTCCCTGAGCATCTCCTGCCCCTGCCATGGCAGCCTGGTGGAGGGAGAGCAGATCTCAGTGTGTTCCCCTGAGAGGGGAGGCAGCAGGGCTGGGCTGTTTTTATGCAGATTGATGTTCTGCAGACACAGATCACAGACTGACTGAATTAATAGCTATTTTCCAAACCTCCCTTCTGATGCATGTGACTTACAGTAAATGTCTAATCTAAGGATATATGTTGTCTGTAATACTGTTAATTAAAATTTTATGCAAATGTCTGCTGAACTCCTGATGTTCAGTGTTAATTTCCACGCTTGATATTAAAAGCTTTTCATACATTTCCTGTGCATGCTTAGTTGGGCTGTGCAGATATTTACCTTCAGGCTGATACAAAGGGCATTTTATCAGTGCAGACAAATCCTGGTTGGAGTTTTGCATTCCAGAGGTGTGAATGGATTCTGCTGAAAGCCTGTCTATAGGTGGATTTGTGGGGCTGTTTGCTTTGAACTGAGTTCATGAAGGACTTTGTGGCTTGGCCTTGGTTCTGTGTTAGTCTCAGCAAGTTAAAGATGTTGCCTCATGCAGATTTCATGCACTGAGCTTCATCTCTTGTGAGAGAGATGAGGATGAGAGGCAAGAATTCCATCTGTCTGCACATTGTGTGTAGGAGAGCACCAGGAGAATTCATTATTTGTGTGATGGAGCTGCTGGATTAGGGAGAAGGGCACGAGGTGTTTCCCTCCAGGTTAGTGTTCCCTCCTGCTAACACAGGTAAGCTTCACCCTCTTGTCTGCACATCTCTTTGCTTTGCCATTTGGAGATATCAGATACCTCAAATTCAGAGAAAATGGCTTGTAAGGACCAAGAGCAAAAATGAGGAAGGCTCCCCAAGACTGAACTGTTTAATTTTCACAGAAATCTGCTCAAGCCTTTTTCCTGCTAACCAGGAACAGCTTTAATCAACTGGTCTCACTTTCTGCTTTCTTTGCAACTCGGCTGTTAAAAATGCAAACTCACATTTTTGCTGAAGTTGCAAGCGCATTGTGCTTCCTTGTGGTTTGTTGTGAGAAGTTAATTCACTGAAAAAAAAGAAATCTAAACTTTGTGTGTAAGAATTTGTTAGAATGTGTTAGAAACTCTCCCTCTTTTATGCAGTTGGGGCGTTTGGCTTTTTGATCTGTTTAATGATAAAAGAAGTTGTTGTGGTGCTGCAAGATTTGGAACAATCCAGGAGAAAGCTTCCATTGTGTGGTGAGGGAGCAGAGTGGGTAAAGCAGGGACAAAACCAGAGCTCTTGGGTCAGTCCCAGAGCCAGGGCAGGACCCTGGACGTTGGTGCAGCTGCACTGGTGAGGGAGCAGCAGCTCCATCACCTTCCCATCCTGCCACCCATCCCCTGGGTGTTACCATGAGGTTTAGAATAAGTTGGTTGTTATGGGCTATGAGCAGAGTAAGATGAAAACATGTCCATCAAGAAAAGGAAAAAAACAACCCTTAATATTTCTCTCATGGAAGTCCTTGGTTTTCAGGACTGAAGATATGAAAGAGAAGAATCCCTCAGTGTTGATGGATTGATGGGTTTTGAGTCTATTACAGAACAACAAGTGAAATATTGAATTTCCTGGAAGTGTGTGAATTGCTGGTTTCTCTTTACCCAGTGTGTTCCCTCCTGTGTTTGCTCTGGGATTGTTTTCCAAAGTGCTGCTCCAGACTCAGAAAAGCTTCCAAAGGAGTTCTTCCTTTGGTTTATTCTCTAAAACCAAGTGCTGCTTTCCTAGTGGTCTGTAATGGGAGGGAATGAAGGCTCTTTGCTCTGTTTTTTAGACCTTGATAGCTTTGAGTTGCATTTAATCAGCTCCAGAAGTGATCCAGGGTTGGGTTGTTCTTACTTGCAAAGCTTAAGAAACTTGGAGTATTTTCCTGTGCTGTTGTGTAAAAATGGCTGGATTTGATTTGAGAGAGAGAAAAGGGAAGCAGTTGTGTTGTGAGGGTGGTTAACTCTTCAGGGATTTTTACATGTGAGGTATTAAAATGATTTTTCCAGAAGCCTGTGAAGTTGTAAAGTAAGAAACTTGTCTATGATTGAGGAGATACACACAGGTGAGGAGGCACTTGCTCCTGCAGTGTACCTGTAAAATGATTTTGGGGAGGCCTCTCATCCCTGGCCTTGAAAGAAAGAAAACTTTCCTAAGGCAGGAATGTTGTTCATAAATTTGCAGTGGGTTAAAGGACAGGAAATGGGGTTAGGAGTAAATCTTGGTTCTCACAGGATTGGCTCTCCCAGCCAAGTGTCCTGCCAGAGATCAGTGCTCTTGCAAATATTCCCTTCAGCAGATTGGCCTGGAATAATAAGGTGGCTAAATTGAAGCAAATTAGTGAAATTTGAATGTAATCTTGAATTGAAAGGAATGATGAAAGATGGAGACCTGCTGAGGGATACAGTGGCAGGTGAAATGAATGCACAGGGAGAAGAACTGTGTGTATCCCAAGAAATGGGAGTTTAATGTGTGCATGGAAATGGCACTGCAGCAATTTGGAGAATTATAACAATGTCAGGTTTGAAATCTGTGCTCTCCTTGTCTCCAGTGTCTCTGGTTGGTTCTTGGGGTGTTTGGAGGAACATTAAAGGACATCTGGATGGGCATCTCTGGACGTGGCCAGCTCAGTTCAGAGTCCCTGCTCAGTGTTTGTGCTCCCAGGGCTGCTCTGTGTTCATGGAATGGCCAATCTGCCAGTTTGCTCCAGTAATTTATTCCACAGCTTAATAGGCCTCTGTTTACTTGAAACAGTGACCTTAACTCCAGAACTGACCCAGCTTTCCAGCTCCACAGCTTGTCCTTGCCTTTTCTTGCCAGTCATTTTGCCTTTACAATTCCATTCTCGTAGAATTAAAAATTCTTCAGTGCTGTGTGAAAGACACAGAGCAGAAAGTGTGAATCTGCTGAGTGTTGTCAAATGAACAAAGCAAATGCATTTGGGAACAAAAAAATTCCTTCTAATATACTTATCATGAAAGGTCACCTTGAGTTGGAGTGTGTTGGGCCACAGGATCTCTGTCCTGAGACTGAGAGGGCTTTAAAATATCCAGGGTTTCAGAAATGGCTTGGTTGAGTTTTTGGAAATTTGCTTGTCCTGTCTGGGTGCAGATTCCTGCTGAACATGGAATTCCTCACGTGGTTTCACCTCAGCTCTGTAATTTAAAGTTCTAGGTAGGAAAATAAATCTCCAGGTTGGACTTTGTTTCTGGTTTGCTTTTCAGATTTTCCCTTTGTATCAGCGTGATTGTCTTCATGCTTTTGTTTTGCTCAGCACTTCAGGTTTTTAATCTTCAGTGTTTAATGTGGCTCGTGAGGAGAACAAGCTGTTTTCAAAATCAGAAAAAATTTGAGGAGGAAAAAATGAATCTAGGAAAATTTCTCCCGAGTGTGTGTGGCTTGCTGGCTGTGCAGAACAATCAGAGCCAACTAACCTGCTCTGTTTTCTTTCCTCGCTCAGGTCATGATTTTCATTTTCTCGTGTCATTCTCTTGAGGAGAGGAAATGATTGTAGTGGAACGTGTCACAAGCACGCCACTGCTCCGGAGCCTTTGCTGTTCAGAAACGTTCCTGGGAGAGCAAATTTAGCCCTTTGCTGTTTGTGTTGTGGGATCTGTCTTGGGAAAAAGGGAAATAAAAATGACGACTTCGTCTATCCGACGGCAGATGAAGAACATTGTGAACAATTACTCAGAGGCCGAAATAAAAGTTCGGGAAGCGACCTCAAATGACCCCTGGGGTCCTTCCAGTTCCTTGATGACTGAAATAGCAGATCTGACCTACAATGTTGTGGCCTTCTCTGAAATTATGAGCATGATCTGGAAACGCCTCAATGACCACGGCAAGAACTGGCGACACGTCTACAAGGCCCTGACTCTCTTAGATTACCTGATTAAAACTGGCTCTGAGAGGGTGGCCCAGCAGTGTAAAGAGAATATTTTTGCTATCCAGACGTTGAAAGATTTCCAGTACATCGATCGAGATGGGAAGGACCAGGGCATCAACGTGAGGGAGAAGTCCAAGCAGCTGGTGTCCCTTCTGAAGGACGACGAGCGCCTCAAGACAGAGAGGGCCCAAGCCCTGAAGACCAAAGAAAGGATGGCTCAGGTGGCCACTGGGGTGGGCAGCAACCAGATCACCTTTGGCCGAGGCTCCAGCCAGCCCAACCTGTCCACCAGCTACTCAGAGCAGGAGTATGGGAAGTCTGGAGGCTCCCCAGCGTCCTACCATGGCTGTAAGTACAGCAAACTCATCCAAATCCCTTTCTTTGGAGGGCTGCTCCTGGGGGTGGGAGGAGTGAGTGAGCGGTGCCTGTGGGAGGGTGAAATGCTGCCTGCCAGGGGGTCTGGGGTCCCTCTGGATCTGCTCTGTGCTGTTGATGTCTCTGCAGATGCCTGGGTAAATGTTTGCTTTGGACGGGCCGTGTGCAGTGATGGGAATCGATTTGAAAAGCCCTTGTTTACTGTCAGTTCCAAAGGTAGCAGTGCCAGGCTGCTCATGTGAACCTGGTCCAGTGTTTGCTGTGATGGGGAGGGTGTGAAGGGCATTTTCTGTTTGCTTCTGGTTTTAAAAGGAGGGCTTGAGATGTGTTCTTTTTGGGCAGGATGGAATCATAGGATGGTTTGGGTTGGAAGGGAATTTGAAGTTGAGCTCATTCCACCCCCCTGCCACGCTCAGGGAACTTCCCAGTATCCCAGGTTGCTCCAAACCCTGTCCAGCCTGGTCTTGGACTAAGACTAAATAAGAAATACGAAGTATTTCCTGAATCATTTTGCTGCTTTATGTTGCTCCTGTTGTACTTTGCTGTTTAAATTTCCTTCATTGCTTACTCAGCAGTTCTTGGAGGAGGAATGCTTTAAATCTGTATTTAAATATTTAAATATCCAGTATTTGGGGTGTGTGAGTGTTTGTCCTAAATACTAAATACTATACTTCATTCTTAAAAAATGAATCCAGTGATGTGGGAAGAGCAAATTCTTTCCACCAGTGCTTGGTGGGACTCCCTGCCATGTCAGGAGGAGGCCTGATCTGGCACTAAATCCTCCTTAATGTAAGTAATGATCTGATGAAAGCTGCTTTGGCTGCAATGTCAGTGGTTGTGGTCTAATTCTGAAGGGAAATCTTTCCTTTAAAATGAATGTTCAGAGTGTGTGGAGGGCTGTGACTGAGCCAGGGGGCAGCAACCATTGAGCACCAGCTTTAGGAATCTGAAGTTTGTCATGTCCTGTGTCCCAAAGTGCTTCTTTAATCATAAATCCATGAGTGGGGTCAGCCCTGTTGACATTTGCAGGAGGAGATAGCAGAAAATCAAGCCAGGATGGAGAAAATCTCTGTTTAAAGCTCTGGAGACAGGCAGAAAACATAATTTCCAAAAGGAAATTTTTTTAAGATAGAAGGTACAAGAAATGTGAGTGAAGGTACAAGAAATGTGAGTGAAGGTACAAGAAATGTGAGTGAAGGTTTCCAGCTATGAGAATCTTTGATCTTGGCTTTTAATTAGCAGTAGAATAACAAACATCTTAATTTTTCTGTAATAATAATTTTTTATATCTATATAGTTTTTCTATAATAACCATGCTTGAGCACTGTGGATTTTTAAAGAAAAACTCGTATATTGTTACCTCAACAATAACAACATTTTTCCTTTTCAAATCTATAGATTATTGTTGACTACAGCAAAAATTCTTAATTAAGAAATAGCTTGAAATATTGATATTGGGCTGAAATAAGTGCCTGAGTTTCGCTGAGCACACCTTGGCTTTCACAGAATTACTGCTCCACCAGTCCCAGCTTTAATTAAAGCCTGGAACTATTGTTTGGAGTCCTGAATGCTCCCAGAGGCTCCAGAGGATTCTCCAGCAGGGCTGAGCAATGCAGGACGTGTTCCTCAATTGTTCCCGGGCTGCTGTAGGAATCTGGATGGGAGCAGGAGTTTGGCTGTTCCTCACCCCTCCAAGGGTGGATTTCCTGCTCCCTGTGTGTGTCCTGTGGCGGGATTGCTGTGGAGGTAAAGATTCCTTAAGCTTTTTTCTTCCTCACCCCCTAAGAAGCTTTAGAAATCTCAGGGGTTTTTCTCCCCCCCCCCCCCTTCAGTTCCAGCTCTCCTGGACTTTTTTTTTTCACTGTGGATCAGCAGAAGTGCAGGTGGCTCTCAGGTTGTTTTAGAGTTTTAAATGTGTTTTTTCTGGTTTAATTGAGTGGAGCAGAGCAAACCAGCACCTTCCAGAACAGCTGTGCTAATTCCCTCTGATATTGGGGAACTGGGGAGAGCTTTATCCTAGCAAACAAGGAAGGAGTTTCATTAAAATCCAGACATTTAATCTGTTACATAAATGTAGGGTTATTCCTGAGCCTGCTAAATTTGATGGAAGAGATGCTTTTCATTATTTAAAGTGAAAGAGATTGTATCCATCGTGTGTTCTTTTTTTTTTTTAGTAATTATATTTAAATTTAAATAAATATATATTAAATATAAATAAAAATTAAAAATAAATTTTAGAAAGAAATAAATATTTAAATTATATATATTTTTATTATTAATGCCTTCTTTTGTGCTGAAAATCTGGATTCAGAAAAAAATCTGTAAAAGGAATGAAGTTCTGCTTCACTCCTGGGAAATACTCCCCTCAGAACATCCCTGAGATGCTGTTGCTCTGTATATCCTGGCAAAATTCTCTTTCATTCCTCTGAGCCTTTGAAGAAGAGATCAGAGACTTTTTAATTTGCTATCTGCAGCAAGAGATTTGCCTCTTCAGAATGTCCAGCCATCCCCTTTGCTGAATGCCCAGCCCTGCTTAGCAGGCAAATGGAAATGAAGTTTGGGAGAGTGGCAGAGCCCTTTTGGCAGCACCACCCCAGGAGAGGTTTTAGCACATTTTACTCTTGCTCCTTCTAGACACCATGGGTGGGGGTTGCAGAATTCATTCCCCTTGCTTGAAGAATATTTTTGGGTTATAAAATCTCATTTTTAGTGCTTTCTTGCAGAAGCAAGAGCTGAGAGCTTGGTGGTTCCTGCAGGACAGCTTCAGGAACTCCCAGTGGATGCTGGGGTGGATGTGAGGGAGCTCTGTCCCCTCTTTCAGGGACTAAAATGCAGTTTTGGTTAAATCAGTGAAGCCTTTTTGGGTCAGTTTGTTGGGAATGTTGAATCAGCCGCTCTGCCCAGCCAGCTCTGAACTCTGCTCAAACTCCCCCTCCAGCTTCCCAACCTGGGCAGGTTTGCATGGGGACAATTGGATTTTTGCTGGATGTTGCCCACAAGGGGTTTTCTTTAAGAATTGCTGTTTTTTGTGTCCCAGATTCATCCTTTGTAACAAAATAAAAGCAGTATTGATACCCTGTGTAGTGAGAGAGAATTCAAGATGGAAAAGGATCTCTTGACTGATATCCAATCATCCCTCACTGCTGCAGGCAAATAAGGGGATTTTTCCCTGTTTTCTTGTGAATATTTTCAAAATCCTTTAGAAACTGTGCAGAATGAAATGGTGCAACTTGATGGTTTTTAATAAAATCCTTTCCCCCAAAGCTTTGCCTTAATGACTTTGTTGGCCCTGAAGATCTCTGTGCTTGGATAATTCCAGGAGCACATTATGGCATGTGAATTGGAAAAGTTTTTTTTCTACCCAGTCTCATAACCTGAAAATGGAAGCCATGAGAGATACTCAAAAGAAAAAGCAGAAATAAAGCTCCTCCCAACCTCCATTTGTCAGCAATTTCTGACATACTGGGAGCAATTGGTTTTATCTTCCATCTTTAAACCAGGGACAGTTAATGCTCAGATTAGGAGCTGCTAAATATTCCATGACAAAATGTATAATTTTTATTTATTTTGGAAAATGTGCCAATTCTGTAGAGTTGCATTAAATCAGGTTTTATTTCACCTTAAGGAAATATTCTTGTGTAGAGCTGAAACCAGACTTACTGGGGAGAGGAAGGGATATAAAGGATAGATAGATACTAAAAGATAGATATTAAAAATCTTTTGGAGCAATAGTCCTCACTCCTAATCTGCCTCTGGGTCTGAATAATTGGGTTTTTACCTGACATTTGTCACCCAGTTTCAAAAACTTCAGCCTCTTGTTCGTGGCCTTGTTTCATCTCCAGTTGCCAGTGACCACTTAAATAGGATTCTGGATTTATGGCTGCACAGGGAAAAGTAGGATGTTCTTAATTTAGACCTCTTAAGCCTGAGCTGGGGTGCTGCTGGTGGTGTTCTAAAACCAAGTCTACTGAGGCCATGCTTTTTAAGAGATCAATCCTGTTGTGCCCAAGCTGGGGTGTGCAGGTGTTGTTTTGGGGTGTGCTCACATCCCTCCCTTTCTCCTGTGCTCCAGGAGGGGATGGGAAGATGGGATGGGATGGGGTCCATGGGATGGGAGGGATGGATGCCCCAATTTCAGTGACACAGACCCTGATTTCAGTGACAAACCCTGATTTCAGGGACAAACCCCATTTTCAGTGTCACAAACCCCAATTTCAGTGTCACAAACCCTGATTTGAATGACGCAAACTCTGATTTCAGGGACAAACCCCATTTTCAGTGTCACAAACCCCAGTTTCAGTGTCACAAACCCCAGTTTCAGGGACAAACCCTGATTTCAGTGACACAAAGCCTGATTTCAGGGACAAACCCCATTTTCAGTGTCACAAACCCCAATTTCAGTGTCACAAACCCCATTTTCAGTGTCACAAACCCCGATTTCAGTGACAAGCCCTGATTTCAGTGACACAAAGCCTGATTTCAGTGTCACAAATTCTCATTTCAGTGACAAACCCTGATTTCAGTGACAACCCCCAATTTCAGTGACATAAACCCCAATTTTAGTGACACAAACTCCAATTTCAGTGACACAGCTGGGTGTCACCTGATTTCAGCAGCATTGCCTGTGGTGGGCTCAGCTCATCTCGCTGTGCTCACAGCCTGCTGGAGAGAGGAGATGCTGAAAGATGCACTGGGAAGGGCTTTTATGGATTTTGGGAAATGCCAAGTCTTTAACCTGAACCTGGCAAAATTCTGGGAGCAATTTTCTGCAGCTAAATTAATGAGTTTAATATTTGCAGTGATTATTCACGTTAAGTTGACTCGTTGTTTAAAACCAGTTTTGTGAAGCCTCAGCAAGTTTGTGTTCACTCATCTGTTTCTGTTTTGTCTCCCCTTTTGCTTGGAGTAGAAAATAATTCAGAGGAATTGCTGGTTTGGCTTTGACACAATAGGAAATTTATGAAATGCAGAATGGTTTGGGTTGGAAGGGACCTTGAAGCTCATCCCCTGCTATGGGACACTTTCCACTATCCCAGGTTGCTCCAGCCTTGAACATTGCAGGGATGTGGCAGCCACAGCTTCTCTGGGCAGCCTGTTCCATTCAGAACACTCCTGTTTTTAAAAAGTTTGCTTTTTATTTAATAATTATTTCTTTAATAATCTGTTCTGCATCTCTGCAGGTTGGAACACATCCCTGCCCTTCCATCTTAGCCAGGGAATATAGGGAATATCACCCAGCAATGAATCTGGCTGAGCAGCGTGGAGAATTGCTGCAGTTTGAGGTGTTGAAGGAATGTGGCAGACTCCTGTCAGATGTCATTTGACAGCTTGATTAAATCCTCTCATCATACATTTATTTTTCTGGTGCTGAGAGTGAAGGTGGGAGGTGCCACTGGAGCATCCAGACTTTGTAGTGACACTGAATTATCCAACTGTGTCCATTCACACGGGCTGGCATCACCTGAGAGGAAAATACTCCCAGCAAAACAAACCTGAAGGATTTGTTGGGTGTTAAATGAATTTCAGCAGCTCTCAGTGCAGCCAGAATCCTGCAGGAGAGCTCAGCAGCTCCACCTTGTCACAATCATCAGTGTTATCAACTCTCTTCTTGTACCTGAAAGATTCCTTCAGTCCCAGGGGAAAGGTGGATTACACAATTCCTTCCAGATTAAACAGCTTGTACTTGCCTTTCCATCATTTGCCTTTTTTAAATTATCCCATTTGATTTGAGTGCTTGTTCACTGGCAGACTGACAGATGGGATCTCTGCCTGCTTCCCAAGTGAATTGCTGCTGGTTTCTGAGTCCTTACCTTGATATTATTTCAATTTTTGAAGTCACTTTTGGTTTTGCCCACCTTTGAGGAAGCAGCTTTTCATTCTGAGAGATGAGTTCTGATCTTCAGAATTCCACCTGCAAATTAGAAAGCCTGATACCAAAGAAAAACCCCAGAAATTACAAAACCAGCCCCAAAGCCCAAGCACAGGATCCTGAATGAAAATACAGTCTAATTTTTATTATTAATGCAGGCTCTGCTCTCTGTGTCCTGTATTTCACTTTAACTCAGCCAGATCTATAACCAGCTACAGGGGCCTTTTAATAGAGCCAAAATATAGGAAATTATCAATAGCTGTGTCTGGGAGCTGGCCCAGCCTGGCCAGGCACAGATGGTGCAGCAGAATCCTGCTTTAGTGATTAACTCAGCCTCCAGATGATTTCCTTGAGCAGCCAGCCCTGTGCTCCCTGCAGGAACACATCCCACAAATGTGCTCCTGGAGGGACTGGGATCCCCAAATTTTGGGGGTTTAGGGTTTAGCAGATCAGAATTGATCTGTTGAGTCTCATCTTACATGAACATGTGAGTTAGCTGTCATGTGCTGGGGATGGGGGATGCTTCGTGTGCCACCATCCTGCTCCTGAGGCTGTCACCTTTCTGCTGCATCCTGGGCATTCTGACCTTACAGCAGAATGAGGCCCACATGGAATATAGGAATCTTAGCTAAAACTTGTCAGGTTACTCCCAAGAATGGTGTTTTGAATTCCCCTTAATCCTTTTCAAAAAGAAAAAAAGAAAAGTGCTGGCAGCTCTTTAATGTGGATGGTTTTATAACACTTACATGGAAAACAGCAACATTCCTGTAGTTTGTTTTTTTTATTGAGGCCCAAGGAAGAACTTCAAATGGACATTTTCCCTTTTTATTTTAAGTGAAAAGGAACTGGAAATACCTTTCAGAGTTAGTGAAAGCAAGGAGAATGGATTGCTGGAAAGGCTAAAAGTGGGAAGGAATGACCTGTGTGTGTGAGTGAGCCCCTGGTGTCCATGTGGGGATCCCAGAACTGCTGGTTTTGGGAGCTCATGGAGCCAAGCCAACCCTTCCCTGCCTGGCTGGGAGTGCAGGGCCAGGGAAAGGCTTGGAGTGAGGTAGAATCCCTGATTTTACAGCTTTTCCAGGCAGGAAAAGGGCACTGAGGTCAGCAATCCTTTGTGTGGAAATGGGAGGAAGAGCAATGGAATCAAACCCTTTTTTAATTTTAGTGCCACTCAGCCATCAGGCTCTTGGTTGTTGTGGAGTGCTGGGATGCAGGAAATGCAGGAAATGCCATTTCCCCCCCGCAGTTCAAAGCCCAGCAGAGCAGAAGGTTCCTCCCTGCTCCTGCTCCAGGTGCCATCTGTTCTCAGGTGACTCTGCTGCTGTCCCGTGTGTCCCAGGCTCTGTTTTTATTAGGACTCTTTCCTCCTCTAATCCCTGCTGCAAAACTGCTCCTCTCCATCTGCATCTCAGACCCATTCATGGCCACTTCATACCATGAATTCTTGCCCCTTTATCTGAAATAGTTTTTCTCTCTCTGAGGTTTTTAACAACCATAAACTGCTCCATCTTCTTCTGGCAAAGATAAATAGAAAACATTCTCTGGGCTCCAAAGGGAAGTGTTTCCACCTCCATCCTGGTTTAAAATCATCCATTTTGGATTAGAATGATTAGAATTAGTGCTAATTTATCACCTGTATTAGGTGAGTGGCTGGGAATTATCACATGCTTTAATCATCATATTTTTAATGTAATATATTGGAGAGCCTGGCAGTGACTGTTGGAGCAGTAAGTACTCATCAGCCAGGCTAAATTTAATTATTTTATATGAGAAAGTGTGAAAGAGTAATAGAATTGAGCTATGAGTAGCATCATAATTGAAGTAAGGTTGGTTTGAGAGCCTCAGGATCAGCACAGGGTGGAAGAATCATTGTGGGTGATAAATTAGTTTATGTCTTTAGAAGCAGATGGGGTGGGAGGGCACCTCGGGGTGGGGTGGGAAGGAGGAAAGGTCATTCCTTGTTTATGGAGAGTCCTCTTCCTTCTGGCCTGCTGGATGGGAAAGTTCCCCTTGTTTTGTGGTGTCATTGTGGCCTGAAACTTCAGCAGAGAGAGACATGACTGGGAAATGTTGGGAGGATTAAAGTAGTGATGGAAATGTGCTTTTCAAAGCAAATTTGGCAATCTCATTTCCACATGCCCAGCTGACCTGGTCGGAAGAAACTTGATTTCTTGAAGCTTGACACACTGGTTTGAAACATTCAATTAAATGTATTAAATGTCAATATATGTTTTGCCAAACTAATCATCAGTCCAGCCACTAAATACAAACTGCCTTGCCAAAGTGAGGTAGAATTTCTGTGTGAATGGTTTGGATGCTAAGGAATTGTCTGAGAGAGAGTGAGCGCAAAATTGTTCAATTACTGTTTAGTGCTAAACCTGCTAGTGGTGTGGGATGGGAATTTCACATTGCTCCTGGAGTGAAAACAGCACTAAAAGATGGTTTGTGTGTTGAGAAATTGCATCTTTTAGCTCTCAAGGTTGACTGTTCATTGAAGAGGAGGGGAGGAGATACCCCATAAAACCCCAAACAACCTCAGAAACCAACCAACACCCCCAACCCAGTCCCCAAACTCTTCTTTAGCAGAGAATGATCCTGTATTTGTGTAAATTTGGAGTCTGAATAGCCGGTTTGTTTATCCCCAAGCCTGCTCAGCAGTTAAGAATAGTTCTTTATCTTCCCATTAAGACTGTATTATTTTACAGAAAAGTGGGTGGTATCCAGTTTTACCCTGATATTGGCCCACTCCCAGCAGATCCTTACTGACACTGCAAGATGGAAGAAATCCTCACAAATGTTTCCTTCAACAATGAATTTTTAAATCGGGAGCTCTGATACACTCCAGCATGAGCTGGGGGGTACTTCTTATAAAAAAACTTGGATTTTCCAAGGAATATTTAGGGAATATTTTTCCCTTAAAGCAGCTGAACTGCTATGAAGAGGTAAATTATCATCCTCACTCTTGGCAGAAGATTCAGCTCTGCAAACTGGGGGGGGCTTTGACAGCAAACATGGGGTGCAGGAGCTGAGGCTGCCAGCATCTCCTGCAGGTGCTGGGCTGAGTCTGTGCCCACATCTCCTGAAGGGTGCTGGGCTGAGTCTGTGCCCACATCTCCTGAAGGGTGCTGGGCTGAATCTGTGCCCACATCTCCTGAAGGGTGCTGGGCTGAGTCTGTGCCCACATCTCCTGCAGGGTGCTGGGCTGAATATGCTGTGCCCACATCTCCTGCAGGGTGCTGGGCTGAATATGCTGTGCCCACATCTCCTGCAGGGTGCTGGGCTGAATATGCTGTGCCCACATCTCCTGCAGGGTGCTGGGCTGAATGTGCTGAGCCCCATCTCCTGCAGGGTGCTGTGCTGAATGTGGTGTGCCCCATCTCCTGTGCCCCCATGTCCTGCAGGGTCCTGTCCCCCATCTCTGCAGGATGCTGGGTTGAATCTGTGCCCCATCTCTGCAGTTTGCTGGGCTGAATTTGTGCCCCATCTCTGCAGTTTGCTGGGCTGAATCAGTGCCCCATCTCTGCAGTTTGCTGTCCCTCATCTCCTGCAGGGTCCTGTGCTGAATCTGTGCCCCATCTCTGCAGTTTGCTGGGCTGAATCTGTGCCCCCATCTCCTGCAGGATCCTGTGTCCCCCATCTCTGCAGTTTGCTGTGCTGAATGTGCTGAGCCCCATCTCTGCAGGATCCTGTGTCCCCCATCTCTGCAGTTTGCTGTGCTGAATGTGCTGAGCCCCATCTCTGCAGGATCCTGTGTCCCCCATCTCTGCAGTTTGCTGTGCTGAATGTGCTGAGCCCCATCTCTGCAGGATCCTGTGTCCCCCATCTCCTGCAGTTTGCTGTGCTGAATGTGCTGAGCCCCATCTCCTGCAGGATCCTGTGTCCCCCATCTCTGCAGTTTGCTGTGCTGACCGTGCCGGGTTTTGGCTTTGTGTCCCCACAGCGACATCCCCGCGGGTGTCCTCGGAGCTGGAGCAGGCGCGGCCGCAGACGAGCGGCGAGGAGGAGCTGCAGCTGCAGCTGGCGCTGGCCATGAGCCGGGAGGTGGCGGAGCAGGTCGGTGCCCCTGTAGGTTTTCCAAAGTGTCCGTGCTTGGAGAGCTCACTGTGCAACCTGGTTTGCTTGGTTGGATTTGATTTTATCTGATTTTAATTTTATTTTATTTTTAAAACTTTCATTTTATTTTATTTTATTTTTTTTATTTTAATTTTATTTATTATTTTATCTTATTTTTTGTTTTATTTTTATTTTTTATTTATTTTATTTTGTTTAATCTTGTTTTATTTTTATTTTATTTTTATTTAATTTTGCTTTACTTTTTCTTATTTTTATCTTATTTTGTTTTTATTTTATCCTTTCCCTTTCCTTTTCCCCCTTTCCTTTTCCCCGTTTCCGTTTCCCCGTTTCCGTTTCCCCGTTTCCTCCTTTCCTTTCCTTTCCTTTCCTTTCCTTTCCTTTCCTTTCCTTTCCTTTCCTTTCCTTTCCTTTCCTTTCCTTTCCTTCCCTTCCCTTCCCTTCCCTTCCCTTCCCTTCCCTTCCCTTCCCTTCCCTTTCCTCCCCTTCCCTTTCCCCTTCCCTTTCCATTTCATTTATTTCTGGCAGCTTGGCTTTGCTCCAGGTAGAATTCTGTGTGTGGGTTGGTTTCTTTTTTATTATTATTATTCTTAAAATCTCTTTTTAAAGTAACTTCAGCCTCCGAGCTGTTGAGACTAGTGGAAGATGACAGTCACTTTGAGAGAAGCCTTTGTGTGGGAGGATGTTAATCATCACTTACTGAAGATGTTTTCAGTTAGGAAGAGCTGAAAGCATGACTGGTCCTGAAATCTTCATTAATGTCAGTGAATTCTAATTCCAGTGGAATTTGGAACAGTCTGTTCGTTTGGTGGGAGTTTCTGGAACAGGAGGGTGACCTGACACAAAGTACCAGAATATATTAAAAAATTGTTTTAAAGAAATTGACTCCTGATCTATCACCTGAGTTATGTTACTGTGCTAATTCTTAGCTTCATTCTGCATTTGGAGTAAATTTGGATAAAATTACTGCATTTTAATACATAACAAAGTCAAATCTCAGCTCTGAGTGAAAATTCAAGTCAGCTATGCTGAGCCCTGTAATATTTTAGAGGATTCCTGTAACAATTTCGTTTACAGCTGTGTGTTAAGCAAGAGTGCTTGGAAGGGGAAACTGTCACCCAGTAAACTTTGTCATTATTGAGCAATAAAGGGAACTAAAATATAAATCAGAACTAAGCACTTGAAGTAGCTTCAGAAATGACTGGGGGATTAGTCAACTTCTGAGAGACATGATGCAAGCAGAGATATTTAAAGGAGTCAAATGTGGCATAAACATTGTAGTTATAGATGTTTAAACCTTCACATTACACCTGGACTTGGCAAGACTCAATTCCCTCAATTCCTTCTTGCACCAGCATGGAAGGAAGTGAACAAAAGCAAGGGAAATTTCAGTTTAGTTCTCTGGAACCCTCAGTGGTGATCTGAATGCTGAAAAACCATCATAAAAACCAATTTAAAAATGGCTTGTTCACTTAAAGTTCTGTGGTGTTTCTAACAGAATTTTGGAAGGAATAAAACAACACCAGGATAAATTTAAAAATGGCTTGTTCACCTGAAGTTCTGTGGTGTTTCTAACAGAATTTTGGAAGGAATAAAACAACACCAGGGTAAATTTAAAAATGGCTTGTTCACCTGAAGTTCTGTGGTGTTTCTAACAGAATTTTGGAAGGAATAAAACAACACCAGGGTAAATTTAAAAATGGCTTGTTCACCTGAAGTTCTGTGGTGTTTCTAACAGAATTTTGGAAAGAATGGAACAACACTGGGGTAAATCCCAACCAGCCATGACCACAGCAGGGTCGGGGTGCTCCCGAGGCACAAACCCCAGGAGAGCTCCTGTTCCTGGTGTGTGCTGAGTGGAAATGCAGCCTGTGGAGCAGAGGGGCAGGGCTGGAGCCCTGCAGGGAGCAGCAGCAGCTCAGAGCAGCTCGTGCTCGGTGTCACCAGTGTTGGTTTCCTTTGCAGGAGGAGCGCCTCAGACGCGGGGACGATCTGAGATTACAGATGGCTCTGGAGGAGAGTCGCAGAGACACAATTAAAATTCCCAAAAAGAAGGAGGTAGTGCCTTGGCCTAAGAAATTCCCTGTTATGCTGCCAAAAAGCTGAAATACAGTAACACAAACTTAGCTTAATACTGAGCTCTTTTGTGCTTCTGGGTTTGCTTTGTTGTGTAGCTTAAAGCTTCTTCCATGTGGGTTAAATTTGGAGCTAGTCAATGCAGGCGTGTAAAAGGAAAAATAATAATAATGCTAATAATAATAATAATAATAATTGCTTCTTCACTCTCGTGGGTTTGTACTCCAGCCTGGCAAGGCTCTTGAGTAAAGCTCAGCTTCTTCCTGCCCTCAGCACACCACCCTGCTGGACCTGATGGATGCCCTGCCCTCCTCGGCACCGGCCCCGGCCAAGAGCGAGCCCTGGGGCCCTCCTGCTGCTGCTGCTGCTGCTGCTGCCAACCAGACAGATCCCTGGGGAGGATCCACAGCTGCAGCCCCTGCCTCCGACCCCTGGCAATCATTTGGTAAGAGCAAACTGCCAGGAACGCTGGGATCTCAGAGGTTTTGCTTCTTAACCTTGCGTTTCAAAGTTCCTCAGTGTGGTACTCGTGTGTGAGTCCATTTTTATTCATTTCACTGAATTCCTCATTTCCAAGCAGGCACCAATGGCAGTTGGTTTTCTTTTTTAAGCAGTTGGGTTTTTGTGTGTGCAGTTTGAATCCTAAGGAAGAAAAGAGTGGCACTTCTGTTGTCTTTACAAAACCAACTTGTCCAGCTCGTGTCTTGCTGCTGGTTGTGTTAGTGCCATGGGTTTAGACTGTTCCCAGAATTTAACCTGATATTTAGGCAAGTTTAGGAAAGCCATCAGTCTGAATTATCATGTCCTTAGCTGCTCCTAGAGAATTGTAATGTGTTTGTGTATGGTCAGAACCAAAAGGATTAAATTACTTAAACGAAGATTTTTATAGCAGACAAAAAAATTCAAGTTGCCATTTAAAATACTTAGTGTTCCATAGGATTTCAATGCTAAATCCATGGAATATTCCTGAAGGGAAAGGTGCAGTGTTTCACATTTTAAAGAGCAATTAAACCAAATTTCTGTGTGGTATTTTGTTTTTTCTGTGTGTGTTGCTGCCTGTGTGGTGGGCTGGTGTCTGGGTCAGCCACAGCCTGTCCAAGGAGTTTCTCCTTTGAAAGAAAGTGTAACACTTGGAACTGGAGCTGGATCTATTTTTTGGTTGGAATTTTTGTTTTAAAGGGCAGGGAGTTTCTGTGCAAATCTTGATGAAGCTTTTCCATGAAGACTGACAGCTTTGTTCTGTCAGTTCTGCTTTGGGCTGGTGATGCTACAACAAATGCTTCAGAGGGATTTGCAATCCACACACCACCATCAGATTCCTGATGAAAAATTGGAAATTTAATGATGAACTGCCTTGTTTGGGGATTTTTCTCTTGCTCATGATGGCATTAAAGGCACCTACAAAGCTCCTGGGCCAACTGCCAGGTCATCATTCCAAGTGTCACCTGGTTTATTTTGATGATAGGAACTGAGAAAAAGCTCAGATTTTGGGCCTTGAGGCCATTCAGTTTATTTTTCCATGGCTAAAAGCAACCAAAATCCACTTTCCTCAAATGTGCAGCCTGATGTGTCACCCTGTGACAGGATTTTCCTTGTACCAGTTCCAGCTGTAGCATCTCCTCAGTGCTTCCCAGCTTTCTTTCACCACAGCACAATCCCTGCTTGCAGCCTGCTGGATTCTCCCAGGAATAGTCTCAAGGATGCCAGGTCATGAATTTGCTGGTAAAAAATGACTCATGAATCTGCATTTCCCAAATCCTGCCAGTGCTGTGGTGTTCAGTGGAGCTGAGGGAAGCTCCAGGAAGGGATTTTCCTGAGTGCTCTCATTCTGAGTGCTCCTTTTAGGGAAGAAAGGACATTTTGGGAAGCTGCTGGTGATGGGAAATGCTGTCATTAGTGTGGCACTGCTCCTAACTCAGCACTGGGGACAGATAAAGGAGATGGGAGTACTGGGGTGGGAATTATGGGGCTTCCTTAGAGACTTTTGGCATTTCCTGCTCTGGAGCTGTAGTGACCACGTGGCTGCTGATGAAACAAAACCCAAAATTCCAGCTGGAATTTGTGCAGCATTCCTGATTTACAGGAATATTGAGATGCCAGGGGGGGTTGAATGGATTTTTAAAAGCTAAAATAATTTTCAGTTGTAATTTGAAAGCTGCAGGACATTGAAGGTCAGAGTTGTTGCATGTGGGTGATTCTCTCCTGCTCTCTTGGGTTATAAAATCCTCATGTGGGAATCAAACCTTTGGTGATTGAATTTGTAGGAATGAAGAGTTGTCAGCATCTTCCAGTAGAAATGAGAACCCTGAGCATAACAGACATTGGGTTAAAAATAATAAAGGGACATCAGTGGGCAGCTTAGATGTGTGTCAGGAGTGCTTAGAAATGGGAATAAAAAAGCACAGCAGGCTCAGGGGAGCTGATTATACCTTTATAAAATAGCAGTGGGGTTAAAAGGCTTGGAAAACATTCCCTCTGAATCTTACAGCTTCCTTTGTCCAAGGGTTAATGTTGTGTATGTCACACCTTTTACCTTTGGGCTTTTTATAAACTCACTTTCCCCTGAGCTCATAAATAGACCCTGTGATTTAGGTCACCTCCAGCCAGGGACTGTCACTTGTGGTGGCAATGTCACCAACAAAGGCAAGTTTATTTCCTGGTTGGAACTGCAGGTATTGGATCCAGGGAGGGGAATTGTTTATTCCTCTGCCTTGCCCAGAATTTCCTGGTGCTGTTGTTGGTCAGAGTGTGACAAATGCTGGGAGTGGCTGGTGCTGAGCTGCTCCCATTAATACTCAGTGGTAACTGGGAGGAGGAAAGGCTCCTGGGAGGGGTCAGTGTCCAAGGAAAGGCTCCTGGGAGGGGTCAGTGTCCAAGGAAAGGCTCCTGGGAGGGGTCAGTGTCCAAGGAAAGGCTCCTGGAAGGGGTCAGTGTCCAAGGAAAGGCTCCTGGGAGGGATCAGTCATCAAGGAAAGGCTCCTGGAGGGGTCAGTCACCAGGAAAGGGTTTGGGAGGGGTCAGTCCCCAAGGAAAGGCTCCTGGGAAGGGTCAGAATCCAAGGAAAGGCTCCTGGGAGGGGTCAATCACTAAGGAAAGGCTTTGGGATGGGTCAGAATCCAAGGAAAGGCTCATGGAGGGGTCAGTGTCCAAGGAAAGGCTTCTGGGAAGGGTCAGAATCCAAGGAAAGGCTCCTGGGAGGGCTCAGTCACTAAGGAAAGGCTTTGGGATGGGTCAGTCACCAAGGAAAGGCTCCTGGGAAGGGTCAGTCACCAAGGAAAGGCTTTGGGATGGGTCAGTCACCAAGGAAAGGCTCCTGGGAAGGGTCAGTCACCAAGGAAAGGCTTTGGGATGGGTCAGAATCCAAGGAAAGGCTCATGGAGGGGTCAGTGTCCAAGGAAAGCTTTCCAAAGGGAAGCTGCCCTCACTTCTCTCCTGCTGATCCTTCTTGCAGGTGCCAAACCAGCTGCTTCTGTTGACCCTTGGGCAGCACCAGCAGGATCCACAGCTCAGCCTCTGGCCAAAAATGTGGACCCTTGGGCTCCTGCTCAGCCATCTTCTACTGCAGCAAAATCTTCTGTGGATCCCTGGGGATCAGCACCTGCAAACAAACCTCTCTCTACTTCTGGTGAGCAATGTTCTCATCCCATATCCATCTCATTTGAGTAATGAGGAGAAGTCCAAGTGGTTTTCTTGCATTGTGTGGTTCAAAGAAGTTGGACAATTGGCAGAATTGGTCTTCAAAATAAAAGGGACTTGTAATAACCAGCAGGAAAAAGAAATTTCAGTGTGATTATTTCAGACTTGCAGCTCTGAATTTGAGGTGCTGCTTCCTTCTCTGTCCCTTCTACGTCTCCTCATGGTATTTGTGGCTGCCTGCTGAGCACTTGGGACTGCTGCTGCTCTTGGGTTTTATCTTTAATTAGACAAGGACTTAATTTTTGGCAATGAATGATACACTGATTTCACCTTTCCTCATGATAAATAACTCTGCAGATGTAGATTGACAGGTTGAGCAGCTCGAGGAGACTTTTAGAGGTGCAAATTAAGGTTTGTTCTTTCAGACTGAGGGTGTGAAACCCTCCCTGAGCCCTGCTAAAGATGCAGAAGGTGCTGCTGTAATTGTCTTTCCATGCTCTGTAACTAATACAACCTTGATGAGTGTTAATACCTGGCATTTTCATATTGGCACCGTGGCTAAAAGCATCCAAAATGCATTTTCTGCTCATCATTCATCCCAGAATGCAACAGACAGAGGAATCTGTGTGCTGCAAAAACTTCTCTAAGCAGCTTTTCCCTGGGCAGAGGGCAAAAACTGAAATGAGCCTCTAGCTATGGTAGCTCTTTGTTCTTGATAAATGTTGTTTTTATGTTCAATTTTCACCTTCTCTTGGGGTTTGTCATCTTGTGCTCTTCTTGCTTGAAATGTCCTGAAGGTTAAAAATAAACTAAGAAAACATTTCAGCTAATTAAAAATACCCACACAAACCTTAAAGCTGTTCAGGAGTGTGATTGCTGATCACTTAGGTGTTGTTCCTGTGCCTCCAATCTGAGGTAAGAGTGTGTCCACGTTTGGAAGTGGTGATGTTTCATTGATTGCAAGCTCTGGGTGAGTGCTGGTGCTTCAGCTAACGGGGCTTTGCCATCTGCCCACCCTCTGCTCTGCATTCCTCCTCCTTTCCACTTGGGAAACAGAAATTAAATAATCACTGGTGGTGTTTTCCTTGAGGGCTGATTAACACTTGATAGTAGAAGCTGTAAATCCATTTCTGTTCTCTCCTTCCACAGCAAGATCTGCTTGTCTCTAATGCAGACACTCAACCAACCAAACCCCAGCATGCTCAGGTGTGCCCTGCACTGATCCAAAAGCAAACTGCTCTGATGTAGTTGTTCCATGCTGTCAGAAAGGACAGTCCTGTGACATTCTCCTTCTCCCAGCTCAGAGTAGGAGCACTCCCAGCTGCTGCCCTGGAGCCTGTGGTGGCTTCTTGGTAATAACAGGAATGGGTCAGGAATTGCTTCCAGGAGGATCAGCTGTGTGATGAGACCAAAGATGTGTTAATGACAGGGCTGTCTTGTTGTTTTGAACAGGAAGTACATCTTTTGACCTCTTCAGTAATTTGAATGGTACAGTTAAAGATGATTTTTCTGAATTTGACACACTTCGAACTTCCAAAAAGCCAGGTACGAATCAAGTTCTTAGCATGTGGACAGGTTGGGTGACAGTCATGGCAACAAATGTCTCTGTTCTTAAATTTTATTGAACAAAAAAATCAGTTTTCACAAAGGAAGTGATGATGCAGCAGTAAAAGCTCCTTGTTCCCATTTTGGCCTGTGCATGAACTCGTGGGGAATGGGCCTTTTGTACTCCATGGAATTGCACTGTGTGACCTTCTGCTGCATTGACCCAGAAATTTGTTGGACTTCCTAATTTCCAGTGTCCAACATGCTTGGAGCAGGGCTTATGCTCAGAGACTCAACCAGAACCATGCTGACTGAATCTCTCAAATGTGTAAATTCCAGTAGGAAAATAACAAAATACCTTCTATGAATACTCTATTTTTTATTGTGGTCAATGATCAGTAAATCAACACTGCCAGACCCTGTCAGTGCTGTGGTACCATTGCTCTCAGGATGGTTCTGCCTGAAGCACAGCTGGGCTTTTTGAGGAGAAAACCCTGGGGGAATCCAGCTAGGAAGGGCACAGCAGTGGTGTAGGGCCAAGGCTTTGGAGTGTGTGTTCCTTGGAGCCTGTGAGTCCCACCTGGAGCAGCAGAGCTGTGGGAATTCCAGCAGTAGAGCACTGCAACTCTGACTGTAGCTTCTTCATGCTCTGCTAAAGGACATTGACCTGCTTGCATGCTGAGAGGGTGTAACAGCCTGAAGCACTGAGCCCTGACTAACACTAATTTAGCATAAAGCATCTCTGCTCTCTCACCCTGCAGCCTGCTCTCTGCCTGGCTCTGGGCACTAACCAGGAGCTCTGTTTGTCCCTTTGTGTTGTTGCAGCTGAATCAGGTTCCACTCTGCCCTCTCAGCACAGTGGCACCACGAGTCCTGATCTCTTTGAGTCCCAGCACTCGAGTGGGACATCAGGCAAGCAGAGCACGGCCCGGAAAACCCCGGAGTCCTTCCTGGGCCCCAACGCTGCCCTGGTCAACCTGGACTCCCTGGTGTCCAAGCCACCACAACCTGTTACTTCTCTGAACCCATTCTTGGCACCAGGTTGGTTTCTGCACACTCCTTCATGTTTGTGTTTGAGCTTTCCCTTCCTGCAGGGGAATTCTGCCCAGCTCGGTGCTGGTGGGGTTAAAGATGGGTGGTTTGGGCTTGGTTTTGTTGGATACTTCAGCCAACAGATCATGAGCAAGAGCAGGAATGTCTCAAGGAGGCATCCTGGGCTCACGCAGCACAGTGACAGTCCCTGAAAATACAAAGTCTCTGCTCTTGGTCTGCAGCTGAATTTCATTCCAGCAGTTCCCCTCATTCAGAATTATCTGTGTTAGAAAGTTTGGGGTTGTTAAAAACAGCTGAACTTCAGCTGGATTTTGTCAAAACAGGTAAGATTGCCTTGGGAAGGTAACAGGTAGGAGTTTGCTGTGGAAGAAGGTTGGAATTGCCCTTTTCCTGGAGCTGCAGCAGGCGCAGGAGATCTCTGACTGAATCACTCACTGAGTAATTCGGTGAGCTGCTGGTTAGTCTGTGTTAGGCTGCCACAGTGAGCCAGTTTTGATCTGAGAACACATTCTCAGTGTATTTTGGAAGAAAAATTGGCTGTTGCGCTTCTCCTGCAAGCTGGGCCTGTTAGAAGTGAGCCCTTGCTTGGAGCAGACTGAAATGGTGACACCAAACATGTGGCAGGTGTGTTTTTTAAAAGCTGAATTTGCACTGATGTTTTCCTGTGTTGTTCTTAGGGTGAAACTTAGGAAATGCTCTTTCAGTATTTATTTTCATCACTCTTCCAATGGAAGAAAAAGTCAATTTATTAAAATCCCTGAGTAGGAAAAAAAGCAGTGATTCTGAGCAGCCTTGGCAGCGAGCAGGCAGAGAGAGGAAATCTGTGTATCTGCCCTTCCCGGGTACTACAAAAAGTTTGTGAGGGGTCACTGGGCCATCCAAATAATCCTGGGCTTGTACACTAAAAGGAATTTGCAAGGCTGGCAGCAATCCAGGGAACCTCAGAGGCTGGGAAAGTTGTGCTCTGCTTTTTCGAGCACCGCTGCAATTCGGAAACAAGTTGTTTACTTTGGGAATTCTTGTCCCAGCTCGGTGCCAGAAACACAAAAATGGAGGTGGCTGCTGGGAGCTTGGAGCAAGCACACAAATCACAGAACCACAGGATGGTTTGGAAGGGACCTTAAAAACCACCCCTGCCATGGCAGGGACACCTTTCACTGTCCCAGGGTGCTCCAAGCCCTGTCCAGCCTGGCCTTGGGCACTGCCAGGGATCCAGGGCAGCCACAGCTGTTCTGGGAATCTGTGCCAGGGCCTCCCACCCTCACAGGGAAGGATTTCTTCCCAATATCTGATGTGAACTCACTCTCTGCAGTAAAGGAGCATATAAAACATTAAAGCAGTGATGTGGATGTCGTGGTTAGGGCTTTTGCAGGAAACCAAATTTGGAACTCCAGTCAGGGCTGTTGGAGGTGGGAGCTGTGGGTCAGTGAAGGGGTGCTGGAGGCACTGGCTGCTTCCAGGGAGCACACTGGTGATCAGATGCTCCTGAGGGCGTTTCAGGCATGGGGATGCACACAGGGAGTGTTCTTTGCCAGCAGAGATGACTGCAGCCCCTGGTGCTGATCGATGGCAGTGCCTCACTGTCCCTTCTCTCCCCGCAGGCGCCGCCACGGCAGCGACTCCAATCAACCCCTTCCAGGTGAACCAGCCTCAGCCTCTGACGCTGAACCAGATGCGAGCGAGCCCCGTGATGGGCAGCAGCCCCTCGTTCAGCACCGTGCCCCCTCTGAGCATGGAGCCAATACCTCTGTCTTCCATGGCCCCCGTGCCCGTGGGCATGGCCCCGCTGCCGGCCATGGGCACCATGCGCATGGGCCAGGGGCTGAGCATTGCAGGATCAATGCCCCAAGCTCTGCACAGTACAGGAATGCCGCCAGCAGCCTCCCAGGCTGCAAATACAACTAACCCTTTCCTCCTATAAAGACCCAATTAAAGGAACTTTTCTTTTCTTAGTGTTTCCAGGCTGAAGTCTTTCCAGCGAAACGAACGTGGCCTGTGTGGACTGAATGGTGTGTGAGAGACTTGGAAGTAGATTTGCAGTTTACAGTTATGATCTTTGAAGAGTTGTCTCTACTTACCAGTTAATCTAAATCTAGTCTTTGCTACAGATGGTACCTTACTTTGGCTTGTTGAGCATCATGTGAAATGTTCAGACTTTTCACCAAAGTTAGATTCTGCCCATTTTTGTTACTTTGTTAATCATTTCAAACACACTTTCTAGGGAGAGAGAGAGAACCTGCCACCGGAAAACTCCCTTGGCTGTTTTGTAGATGTCAGATCATGTGCTGGATTCCTGAAGTTACTCTTGCCCTGCATCTGTCACTTCCTCTGCCCATAAGATAGACCTGAGATTCCGAGTGCTAGTGAATGTTTTGCACATAACTACACACAGTTCTAGACTGTTGGTTCACCCATAGTCCTTACTCTTAGAAGAGACCGACCCGGAGGGCCCAGGGGGGCTTGGTTTTTATGCATTAAACATTGCAAACTCGCACTGCTTTGGTATCTCTGAGGTGTGACTGACAACAGCAAGCTTGTCTCGAAAGGAAAATAACACAAAACCCCAGACAAAACACCCAAGACCATGCTCGAGTTGTGCTGTCGTGTGCAGTGTTGAATTCCTACACTACTCTAAGGACTCCTGGAACTCTCTGTGAGTGGCTGCACTCGTGCTGAGTGAGTGTCCTGCTCTGTGCTTGTCCAGTACCAGCTTCGTTTGGAAGTTTTTTCATGTGTATTTTGTTTTTATTTGACTTACAATGTGAGTTGAAAGAAAAAAAAATGGAAAAAACAAAGAAAAGCAAAAAAAAAAACAAAAAAAGGAGACACAGTGGGACAACTTTGAATTCAGTTTCACCGGGGCAAGCTTTAAAACTAATTCAGGCTTAACCTTGCTATATGCAGTTACTCTTGTATACTTTTGCACATATTTTGTTTAGTACAGTTTCATATTTTGAGTTTGCAGAGTTACCTAATAGTCCTTTTTTTGCTAATTTTTATAATGTGGTTCTTATTTAACTGTCTGGTTTTGATAGATTTATCAAGTCTGGCTGAAAAATTAAGATATTGGCAAATGTCATTTTTATGGTTTTAATGCCCTCTTATTTATGGTTTTCGCTCTTTGTTTCTGTAAAGAGAGTTTAAAAGGGAAGATTAACACTAAAATATTTACTTTTAAATGAAGTATTCATAATGCAAATCAAAAAACAAATCCTCGTGACTAATTATTTTTAGATGAATTGAATTTGAGCATAACATGATTTAAGACTACATTAAAAAGAAAAAACACTAAAGTCGCCTTTCCCTTGATTTGTTCCCATTTCCCAATCCCCAGACTGGACAGACTTTTAGCCTTGATGAAGATCCCAGGAGAGGCTGTTTGATTTTATTTTCCTTGTAAAACTTGAGCTGTTTAAAATCCTGATGTACAAACAGAACTTGTTTGGTTTTATGCCCTGATTTTTCGTGTTGGAAGGTGCACTCTGTTGGATGACTGCTTCCATGGGCAGCCTCCCTTGGGAGCTGAGTTACCCCTTTTAGATGAATTTTCATGTCTGGACTCCTCACCACGCTCAGGGGTTCTGCTGGAGCTCCAGCCTCTCCCAAAAACCCATGGAAAGGGAATTTTCCTGCCTGCAGAGCACCTCTGAACAGACTTGGTGGCCTTTCCTTAGTTTAAGAGGGGGAAAAGAGAATTTCCTAGAGTTGTGTTGAGGTGGAACAATTCCCTGTGGGGCTGGAGAGGGAATGGATCCCATGGAAGGAGGGGATCCCATGGAAGGAGAGGATTCCATGGAAAGAGAGGATTCCATGGAAAGAGAGGATCCCATGGAAGGGCTGGGATTCACCTCCTGGTGGGAAGGGGAGGCTGAAGGATGCTCAGATTTAGGGACACAGCCCCAGCCTGGAGCTGTGCAGGTCAGGGGAGCTCTGGCAGTGTGTGGAATGCTCAGTGTGTGGATGATCCTGTGGGATCCTCTGGAATTGCCAAGGAGCATTCCCAATCCTTGTTTTTATAGAGGAGGGAAGAGGATTGCTGTCCACACCCAGCCCGTCTTTAAAAACAAAACAAAACCCCATCCATGTTGCCTTTCAGAGCAAAGCAAAAGATTTTTTTCTGTTGTTGTTGAGGCTATTGAGAAGTGTAGAGCAGGAAGGGTGTGATTCCTGCAGATGGGGGGAAACTGCTTTTTTCCAGCTGATCCAAGATTCCTCCTGGGTTGTTTTCCCAGTTGGATTTGACCAGCTCTGGAATTGAGGGCACTCAGGGTTTGTCCCTTTGTCCCCTGAACTGCAGTGGGATGGGGCATTGTCTGTCCAGCCAAGAGTTCTGGCCACGTCCTGGGGAACTTTTTAGAGGCAAGATGAAGTTGATAAGAAATATTTAAAGTGCTGCAATAATCTGCAGTTGGAGCTGTCGCTGTAAATTTGCTCTGGGAGGGAGCCCTGGCTTAATGAAGCTGTTGAATGGCAAATCGTTGTCACTGCCCCCAGAACTTTATCCCTTTTATATGAAATAAAGACATTTATGGCACAACAAACCCCAAGGAGGCTCCCTGAGGAGCCACAGCCCAAATTCTGGTGCTGGAAATCTTTAGGCTGAGATTTTCCAAGGCCAGATCCCAGCCTGGCCCAGGGCTGTGGCAGGAGCTGAGTTTAGCAGGAGAAGGAGCTGCTTTGGGAAATGTGACACAGGGGGGTCACTGTCCTGGCTGGGGATGCTCTCAATGGTCCAGCTCACTTTGTGATGATTTTCCTGCTCTCCAGGATAATCCTCCCTCCCACATTTCTGGAGGGTGTTTGTGTGTCCCCTCTGCCCCATTTCTTCATTTTCCCCCTCTTCTTCTTCTTTTTCTCACTTTGCAAATATTCAAAATGCTTTTTTTTTCTTTTTTGATTTTTAAAATGTTAGTAGCCCAAAATAGCCTTACTGGTCAAATTGACCAAAGAGAAAAGTGTTAAATATCTTGTTAAAAAAAATAAATTACCGCACACTCCTCGGCATAATTTCCCCCTAAATAAGCTCAGTTATTTATTCAGTTTTATGCTCTAGAGAAACTCAGCTCTGTGGAGGGGGCAGGGAAGGGAAGCCCTGGTGGGTTGTGGTGTTTTCAGTTTTTGGGAAGTCCCGTAGCCAAGACAGCTCTTGTTCCCCTTGTGCCCCTTTGGAGGTGTGCTCTGTGCCTGACCATTGCACAGGTGGGGAGAAAGAGGAGATTTCCTTTTCCCACCAGAATCTCACCCAACTCTTCCTCTCCAAGTGTTCCAATATTTCCCAAACTGCTCATAACCCCGGGAGCCAGCTGCTTTTTCTGGATTTGTGCTGACTATTGCCATTATTTACTGTATAAATAATTTATCATTTGTACTATTGTATCATAATGTCTGTATCTTTGTGTCATTTTTTTTTTCTCCCCCCCCAGCAATGTCACAGATGTGATATTTAAACGATGCCATCGGAACAGTGGAAAGACGAGGGGTTTGGAGGTGACTGGTCAGAATTAAAATTGTATTGCTTCTATTCCAGCTGTGTTGCTTTTTCCAAGCTTCTCCGTGATGTTTGTTCTCCCATTCCCACCCAGGCCCTGCTTGGTGGAGGTTTGCAGGAAGGGGATGGGTTTGGGGTGAGCTGATGGAAGGTTTGTGGCAGGAGCACTGAGGGTGCTGTGGATTCCTTGGATGCATCCAGGACTTTTCCCGGGACAGGAGAGAGGAGGGGTTTCTGTGGCTCACTGAAATCAGGCTCAGCTGAGACCTTACTGATTCAATAAAAATGGAGATTTGTTGTGTTGCAGGTGACTGAATTCCTTCTTTCAACCCAGAACAGCCCCGTGGAGGCAGCAGTGCCTCGCTGGAGGCTCTGGATTTGTGTGCAGGCAGGAATGTGGGGAAGGTGCCTGTGGAAGGAGGGCTGGGGAGCTGGGACAGCGCCTGGGGACTCCTCACTTCCCACTTCTGCAGCTCAGCCTGGGCTCTGTGCGTGGATCAGAGGCTGCTTCCAGCCTGGAGGAGATCCAGGCTCTAATCCCGGCTGTGTTAATTGAAGGGCACTTCATTAGCAGGCAGCAGCAGGAGCTGCCTCTCCAGAGCCCCTCCAGGTTCGTTTGCAGCCAATCAGGCTGATCACTAATCAATGGTCACTAATTAATGCTGGAGATGTGACTGTGGGAAAGGCAGCTCTGGGGAGAAAGTCTCTGCTTTGGTTTCTGCTGGGGGAAGCTGCTGCCCCAGGGATGTTCCAGTGTCCCTGGAGGAGCCGGGGCTGCCCTGGGAGTGTCCTGGGCCAGGCTGGGCAGGGCCTGGAGCAACCTGGGAATGTGGAAGGAGTTGGGGTTGGAAAAGCAAGGGCTTTAAGGTCCAAACCATTCTGGGACTCTGATTCTACTCCAGCCTCTTGGAATTGCACAATTTCAGCTGAATCTGCTCACTGTGTGGAAGATGTGGGAATGGCTCAGGCTGGAAGCTGTGGGGACTCTGATCTTGTCTGGAGGAACTGGGTTCTGGTGGGTTCTGGTGAATTCTGTTGGGTTCTGGTAAATTCTGGTGGCTTCTAATGTGTTCTGGTGAATTCTGCTGGCAGTGTGAGCCCGCGGAGCCTGAGCTGCCCCAGCCCGTGGTGAGCAGAGCTGTGCCTGTGGTTGAGCTTTCTGCTGACCTTGCAGAGCTGCTCCCCCATCCCACATTTCCTCTTCCTCTTCCTCTCCAGAGGAGCGAGGAGGATTTGCCTGCTCTGCAGAGGAAGATAAGGATTTATCTTTTGGCTTCCCCTCGCCCACACTGCTTTAAGATTTTGCTGAGGTTTGTGTTGCCTCTTTGTGCTGGGCTGAGGGTGCAGCTCTGCCCCTTCTGCTGCTCTTCATGGAGCTGTGGGGAAGGGCTGGGCCCATCTCGTGCTCTGGCTTTGGCACTCTGCAACACCCTGCAGGCTGCATTTCAGGGCACCAGTGGGAATTTCAGGGAACCAGTGGGATTTATGAACCCCTCATGTTCAAAACTCCCAAACCCTCCTCCCAGTCCCACCCATCCATCCCCAACCCTCCTGGAATTCTCCACAGCAGCTGAACCACCTTCAGTAATGCCTGCCATGGAAAATCATCAGACACCTTCATGTCCTTCTTCCCCTAGAACCTGTGAAAATCAGCTCTGCCTTCTTCCTAAAGGGTTTTTTGTGGCCATGGAACGAAATCCATGGATTTTCCAAGCTCCAGGAGTCAGCTCTGCTGTGCTGGAGCAGCCCTGGAGTCCGTGGGCTGCCTGGGGTTGTGTTGGGTGATGGTGGAGGAGGTTTTTTTCTGCTTTTTTAATATCTTCATCAGCAAGTCTGGCACTAAATGGAGTCATGATATTCTCTGAGGTGAATTTGGGTACTTAAATATCCTGGCCTGAATAGGGAGCCAAAAATAGACACCTTCAGCAGTTCCATGTGTCTGCTGCTCTTCCCTCTGAAGGACGAGGCTGGATCCCTCAGATCCTGCTGGGAATGAAGCTCCTGTTGTTCCCTCCCGGGGGCCCAGCCCTGCTTTCCATGCCCCAGGGATGGGTTCTGTGGGATTTGTGCTGTCCTGTGCTCCCAAACCCACCGGGGCTGCACTGGAGTTGGGTGGGAGCTGCACGTTTGGGAGTTTTTGCTTCCAAAGGTGGAGGTGGCTCCTCATGTGTCTCAGAATTTGGGGGTTTTGCTCCCTCACGTTTGCCTCCCAGAGGACTCAGCTGATGGAAAAGGCCCTCAGAGATCCCCTCTGCAGCCTGAGGGTGATGTTGGGTGGGGACAGGGTGGGATTGGGGTGGCCTTTGCCCAGTTCTGCTGAGGGTTGTGCAGGCCTGAAGGACTGGCCTGGAAAACATCCCAAACTGGAGCTGGTGGCTGCTCAGATGGAAAACATCCCAAAAAAGGCCTGGAAAACACCCCAAACTGGAGCTAGGGGGCTCAGGTCTGAGGGACACCCTGGAGATGTCCTGGGTGGGTTCTCCAGCCCATCCAGCTGCTGCCAGCCCAGGGGACAGGCCCAGGTTGGGGTTCCTGCTGTTCCCCAGGTCTGGGTGACCCCAGGATGGGGAATGTCCCACGCTGTGGTGCCAGCCTGGCTGTGCCACTGCTCCCCCCACAGCTGTCCTGTCCTGTGACCCCCAGATCTGTGTCCAGCACGGGTCCAGGGTCTTTATCCCCCCAAATCTCCAGTGGCACAAATGGGAGAAAACACTACAAACCTGTCAAAAATTGGAGCTAAATCCCCAATTTTCTTCTTTTCTTCATTTCTGCTCTGTGCTTGAGAGTTTGATTTTTTTCCCTATTTTTTTTTTCCTTTGGAGCATCTCACAGATCTCCTTCTCCCAGCCCGACACTGCTGCTGGGGAGAAGCTGCTGTCAGCTTGAATCCATCTCATTTTCAGATGGAGATCTCTCCCCGCTGCCCCAGAGCTGCTGGTGTGAGGCAGCCTGGCAGCCTCTGTGGATGCTCAGATCCCTGGCTCAGCCCCGGAGGTGTTTGCTCCCTGCTCTGGGGACAAGGGGCACTGCCAGGGCAGCCAGCACGGAGCCACTTCCATGGAGGAACGGGAAAAACTCGGAATTCTTCATTGAGCATCGGAGTTAATCGTTATTAATCACTTCAGCGCTTTCCTGAGGGTTGGGAGCAGCCACGAGAGGGCAGGAGCTGCTGCTGCTGTTCGGGAGGAACGCGGTAAATACCAATTCCTAAGGATTGCCCGAATGATTCTCCTTTTCCTGGAGGGTTTGATCCCCCAGCTGCTGTTCAGTCCCTGTCCTTGGCTGCCTCCCTCCCTGGGGAACAGCAGGAAAAGTCCCATGGAGTGAACCCAAAGCCTCTCCAGGCCAGGAGAGCTGCAGAGACCCCAAACATCCCCCAAGCTCCTGGTTTGTGATGGCCTTGCAGCCCCTCCTGTGCCAGGACTCGCTCTCCAGGAAGATTTTTACCTTTTTTTTTCCCTGCCCATCTGGAATTCAGAGGATAATGACCAATTTCAGCATCTGGGAGAGATTTCAGGGGAAGGAAGCAGAGCTCCAGCTGAGAGCCTCGTGCTGCTGTTGTGGGGTTGGGAGTTTCAGAGCAGGTTTGAAGAGAAGGGAGAATGATTAACCAGGAAAGGAGCACGGTGTTCCAGCTGGGTGAGCCTCTGCTGCTGGGTTTTACTGGGATTTGGCTGTTCTTAAATCACTGCTGCTTCCAGGGTTTAACTTCCATGTACCATTAGGGATCCTAAATCCCTTCCTTGTCACTGGTCCTTGCTCACGGTGTCGTGTCCATCTTCATTCACAGGTTGTCCCCAGGTGCAAAGATTTCAACTAGGAAATGATGAAAGCAGCAGCAGGGCTATTTCTGGGAAAAGTTTCTGAGGGAAATCAATGGCATTGAGCTTGGGAAACTGCAAACATCAGTCCCTGGGTGATGCCCTGAGGGAAACACAGGAAACTTGCCCAGCCCTTGAGGAAGGTAAGTGAAGCTCTTAGATGTGCTCAAGCCACCGAGGAGCACCAAACCACCCCAAAATTCAGCTAAACCCAGAGAAAACAGGCAAAAATCCTAATAATGCAGGTAAGAGTGTGGGATCTGCTTAGAGAGCAGCTTAAACACCTCAAGGTTCTTTAATCCTGTCATGGAGTTTAGGATTTTTGCTTTTCATTGTTTTTAACTTCCCCTCAGCTGTCAGGTCTGGCTGGTCCCACTGGGGTGAAACACCCACGAGTTCCTTTGGAACAGGAGGAATTCAGGGCTCTGGAGCACTGGGATGAGGAGCTGGCTGTGAATACAGCCCAGGTTTGGGCTGTGTCGGGCTCCTGTGCAGCTTTGCTGCAGTTGGAATGTGGGCAGGAACTGTGCTCCAGGGGAAATGGCTCTTAGGCAGCAGCAGGAGGTTCAGTGTTTGCCTCCCAAGCCTTTCAAACTCTGATATTTATCCTGCTTCCCAAACTGCTGAAAAGGAAACAAAATTCCTCAGGTCTCCTCTGAGCCAACAGGAAATGCTTCTGGATTTGGATTCCAACGTGACTCAGTTCAGAGATTACAAATGGCCAAAACAACTCCACTGAAGTGTGGAGTCAACAAAAACAAGTCAACATTTCAAGGATAATGAAAAATTATCCCTAAAAACGTTTGGAAAAGTATTTCTATGTCATATAAAAGGTGTGCTGCTCCTAGCAATGTTCTAGTGGCTACCTTATGGTCTCAGAAATTAAATTTATTCCATCCCACTGTGGATCAGAACAATCTCTGCCTGGGTGTTTTGTTGAGCTGTGGCCTGGAGGATTTGTGGTTCATCCCTGGGTGTTTTTCCTGGGATTTCTACACTTGGAGGTCTTGGTAGTTCCCTTTTAGGGAGATGGTGTTGTTCTCCTGGGATTTGCAGTCAAACACAAGAGGTTACATGCCCAAAATTAAACAGGAAAATGACTCAGCAATTAGTCACTGCATTGAAACACTCCTTTTTCTCTTCTACCTTTAAGTTTAGCAGAGCTCAGATGATTTAGGGCTTAAAAACATCCTGACACAAACAAAGAAACCCCTTTATCAGCAGAAAAACAAATGAATCCAGTGATACAACAGAGTTTATTTATTCAGCCTAAATAAGCTTAGAGGGGGATGCATTTCACAAGATCATTTTTGCAAGGTGCAATAATTTCAATTCCTCATTTGCAAAAAAAAAAAACAATCACTAAAAGAGAAACTGGGTTTGCAAAGTTTTAACTGCAGGGAAACTGCTACAGCTCTAAACTTTCTGTCATTAATTCTATAAAAAGGTGTACAAAAGGCTGCTATAAAAATATTTTGTTACAGGACTTACTCTGAGACAGCCTGACCCCTAAAATCACTGAATAAAATACAATAATCATCAATAAAACACTGAATGACAATGACATCAATTCCTACAACACTTCAGCCTTGCTGGGAGGATCAGGCTTGGTTGTTACCCCAGATCCTCCCAGGCTGGTGTTTTTTGGAGTGACTGAGTTGGAGCAGCTCCTCCTTTCCTTCAGATGGGCTTTGGGGGGCTCAGAGGCTGTGCAGGGGCTTTGGGGGGGCTCAGAGGCTGTGCAGGGGCTTTGGGGGGCTCAGAGGCTGTGCAGGGGCTTTGGGGGGGCTCAGAGGCTGTGCAGGGGCTTTGGGGGGCTCAGAGGCTGTGCAGGGGCTTTGGGGGGGCTCAGAGGCTGTGCAGGGGCTTTGGGGGGGCTCAGAGGCTGTGCAGGGGCTTTGGGGGGGCTCAGAGGTTGTGCAGGGGCTTTGAGGGGCTCAGAGGCTGTGCAGGGGCTTTGGGGGGCTCAGAGGCTGTGCAGGGGCTTTGGGGGGCTCAGAGGCCGTGTAGGGGATTTGGGGGGCTCAGAGGCCATGAAGCCCCTGGGGCCCAGGAGATTTGGGGGGCTCAGAGGCCGTGCAGCTCCTGGGGTTTGGGGGGCTCAGAAGCTGTGCAGGCCCTGTGGATTTGGGGGGCTCAGGAGTCATGTAGCCCCTCTGGGGGGCTCAGAGGCTGTGCAGCCCCTGGGGTCCAGGGGAGTTGGGGGGCTCAGAGGCCCTGCAGCCCCTGGAGGTTTGGGGGTCTCACAGGCCCTGTAGCCCCTGGGGTTTGGGGGGCTCAGAAGCCCTGCAGCCCCTGGGGGGTTCAGAGGTCCTGCAGCCGCTGGGGTCCAGGGGATTTGGGGGGGTTCAGAAGCCCTGCAGCCCCTGAGGCTCTGGGTGGTTCAGAGCCCTTGCAGCCCCTGTGCTGCCCCAGGGCTTTGGGGGTCTTAGAGGCCCTGCAGCCCCTGGGGTTTGGGGGCTCAGAGGCCCTGCAGCCCCTGGGGTTTGGGGGCTCAGAGGCCCTGCAGCCCCTGGGGTTTGGGGGGCTCTGGGGGGGTTCAGAGGCCCTGCAGCCCCTGGGGCCCGGTGCTCTGGCCCTGGCCCACGTCGTAGCCCAGCTTGTGCAGGTCCTTGGTGATCACGTTGAAGGAAATGGTGACAAAGCCCTGGGAGCGCACCCTGGTCACTGCACACAGGGGAGGGGATGGGATTAATTAAAGATTAATTAAAGATTAATGAAAGGGATTCACGTGGAGCTCTTTGGCAGCAGGCAGGAGCTGCCAGGACTCACCTTCCCTTCCCTCTCCCTGCGCCACCACCTTGGGGTCGGTGAATTCCGGGCGCCTCCCTGTGAACCAGCTTGGAGAAAAATACAAATTAATGAATGCAAAACACAAATGAATGAATACAAAACAAAAAATATTGAATATAAAATTCAAATTAATGAATACAAAATTCAAATTAATGAATTCAAAATACAAAATAATGAACACAGAAAACAAATCATTGAATACAAAATACAAAATTATTGAATTCAAAATACAAATTAATGAATTCAAAATACAAATTATGGAGTTCACAATAATTAATTTAAAATACAAATTGAATGCAAAATACAAAATTATGAATGCAAAATAAAATCATTGAATACAAAATGCAAAATAATGAATGCAAACTACAAAATAATGAATTGGGTGGCTGAGATTGATCCAGGCTATGAGATGGATGTCAGTGAGATTGCCAGGAGGGTTTTGAAACCTGATTCTCTTTATTGATTTAATTCAATCAAAGGTAAGTTTTGCCTTAAGGAAAACAATGCAACTGGTTTCATACAGATTTTGTTAAATCCATTTTTTTTTTCTGGGCTAGAAGGATCTTTCTGTGGCAAAGATATTGTTGAAAAATTCTTCTTGAATTTCTTAAAAAAAAATTGGATTGGGAATTGTTTTTTAATGGGTTTGCTCTTCCTGTGGCTGTCCTTCCAGAACAGCCCCAAGAAGATTCAGGCAGTAATTTAGTGCAGTTAGCAGGTAATTAATATGTCTGTTATATTATATATTATTGTATAATATAAATAATAGAATATATAATATTTATATTATTTGTAATATAGTAGATAACAGAAATATTATTATGTTATATTATATTATATTATATTATATTATATTATATTATATTAATTGTTGTTAATATGTTTATTAAAGCTTTTCAGAAGACCCAGAGACCAGAAAATGTGATTTTTACCCACAGAACACAAAGCTGGTTATGGCACAGAGCAGTGACACCTCTGCACCACTGAGTGGCTGCAAATGCCTTTGTGGCTGAGAAGAGGAGAGAAATGAATTCCTTAATGAATGAAAGTCATTAATTGTTACCTGGTGAGCTGCTGCAGCCTCGAGGTGGACTCTGGGACAAACATGGCAATGGTTCTTTTGTGCCTGAAACAAAGAGGAGAGCCCAGAACCTCAGGAATGAATAAAACCCAGGATTTTTATATTTATGAAGGCACAGAATTCCTGACAAACCAGGAACTTTCCCTTCACACAGAAAGGCTTTGTTTGCACAGGAACAACAGATTTTCCTCTATCCCATCCTCCAATAAATGAGAATTTATTGTGTGAGGAACTGACCTTCATATCTGGCCTTTTTCCAGGCCAGTTTGGGCTTTACAGGATTACGAAAACTTATTTAGTGATGAAAGAATTCTGCCAGAAAATCTCTGTGAACTGACAGGGCACGGTGAGGAGGTTTTTGGGAATTTTTTTGTTTCAGGAATGTGTCTGAGCCCTGCAGGTCAGGCTGGCACTCACCTGCCTGGCACGAAGGGCACATGCACAGCTCCATAACCCCTGACCACATCGTGGCCAAAGAAGTCAGGCCCGTAGACACTGAGCACAATCTGGGGCCCTGCAAGGAAATGGGGGTGAGGGGGGGCTTTGGCACCAGGGCCAGACCCCCCCCCAGCACTCACAGCCAAAGGGGTTGGTGCTCTTGAAGGTGATGTCGATGGGGAAGTTCCAGACCAGCGTGGTGGGCGAGACGCTGCTCTTGGAGGTGATCTGCGAGATTCCCTCCTCCAGGCCCTGCAAGGAGCAGGGGGTGAGCCTGGGGCCGAGCCCGGGGGTGGGGACAGCGGGACACGCGGTGGGGACAGGGGCGGTACCGCCGTGGGGACCCAGTCCTGGCCGTAGACAAAGGAGAACTTGCAGTAGAGGTCATCGAATCCCGGGAACTGCGGGGGGGAGAGAGAGAGGGAGGGATTACTGGGAATTCACTGGGAATTTCTGGGGGTGAGGATCTGCCCGAGTCAGGGTGCTGAGGGCAGATGTGGGAGACTGGGACAGACGGGATGGGATTGGGGGCTGAGACTGGGATGGGCTTGGGGAATGAGGCTGGGCTGGGTTTGGGAGGGTCTAAGACAGGGATGGGTTAAGTGGGATGAAGCCAGGCAGGGTTATGGGGGTGCTGAGGGTGTGCAGGGTTGGGTGGGATGAGGGTGGGTTGGGTTTGGGGTGCAGGGTTGGGTAGGGTGAGGATGGGTTGGGTTTGGGGCTGAGGCCGGCCAGGATCAGGGGAGTCAGATTCTCATCCCGCGCGGGCGGCCGCAGCACCGAGACCAGGCCAGGGCGATCCCCCCCTCCCTCCGCGCTGTCCCGGTGTGTGTCCCGCGGTGTCCCCGGCTCTCCCGCACCTCCCCGCTCTCGATCTCGCCGCTCACGGCCAGCAGGAACACGCTGGGCGCCGCCATGGCGGGCGCGCCGGTTGCCGTGGCGACGGACGGGGCGGCGCAGCGGCCAAACTTCCCCGGCGCCGCGCTTCGCTTCTCTTCGCGGAACTCCCGATCCGCAAAATCGTCCCCAAATCACCCCAAAATCGCCCCAAAACGTGGCCACCCCACCTCTGGAACCCCCAGCATCCCCGGCACAGCTGTCCCCGTGCGGATCCTACCCGCTCCCCTCAGCCGCTGAGCCCGCCCGGCGCTGCCCCGTTATCCTCTCACCGCCACGTGTCCAGAACTTTATTTATCATTATAATAATTTAAAATCAGCCTGAAGCAACCCCAACCGAGGATTCGGCCTGGCCAGGGGATGGGCACGGCCCCAAAGCTGCCGGACTTCAGGGACAGCGCTCTGAGGGATGCCCAGGGCGGGGGTTTGGGATGTTTGGAGCCGGGCGGGATCCCAGGACGGGCTGGGATGATCCAGCTCGGGATATTACCGATACTACAATTGCATGTGTGGAGGCCATGGCCACTAGATGATGCTGCCGGGCAAGGGCCAGAGCGGGAGGTGTTGGCAGGGAGAAGGAGGGAAATGGTGGATTTTGTGCTCTCTGGAGGCTCAGCCCCAGCGCTGAGGAGAGGGGCCCGCGGTGCCCTCAGCAGGGCGGGTGTTGATCATGGCGAGCGGGAGAAACGCCCTCACACCGCTGGTGTGGATGGGGGCGGGAAAAGGAGGGAACAGCACGGTGCTGCGTTAATTATCCTGCTCTAATTAAAAAAGGAAATGGGGAGTTTGGTGTGTAAATAAGGATGGATGTGCTGGGGCTTTCTAAGAGCTGCACCCGCTGAGATCTGCTGAGGGTGACTAGTTCTGATGGTGGCCCCAGTGACAGTTCTGGACTGGTGACATGGTGCTGGCCTTGAAGAATTAATTTGTATTAGAACTCGTTATCATTGGTTCATTGGTGAGGTTTCTTTTGGTTAACAAGCAAAATGAATTAATGAGCCAGTCAGAATAAATTGACACAGAGGCAGGGAGGTGAGAGGGCGAGGCAGGCCCAGGGAAATGGTGCCCAGAGGGACAGCTGGATTTGACGGGGACATAAGGAATAAAAGCAAGGAGAAGAGGGGAGGGTAAACAAGCTCCTTCTCCTGCTGGCCTGGTGCTGTGACAGTTCTGGCCCAGTGCTGTGACAGTTCTGGACTGGTGACATCGTGCTGGCTCATCATTCCTAAAAGGGAATTTGCTGCCCACACACCATGTCAGTGCCATGGAGGCTGCCCAGCCTGGCTGTGGTTCGTCCTTCTCCTCCTTTCTGCCTCCCAGGCCACCTTCCCCTCTCCCTGAGGAATTTTTGGGGTGGTTCGTTGCTGCCAGACCCTCTGGGGAAGTGTGGGAGGAGTGGAGGGAGCCCTTCCACATTTCAGTAGATGTGTTCTCTGTCAGTGCCTATTTCAACTCAGTTTTTCAGGCCAAACAAATTTGGCTGAGAAAAGAATGGGACAGGGAAACAGGAGGGATGGGAGGGAATGCCTGACATGTTATCCTTTCTCCACAGCCCTTCAGAAATGCTTCAGGGAAAAGAATTCATTTGAACTGAAAATGATCCGGGGTGGGGGGGAAGTAGAGCAGTTCTGGAGCAGCTGTCTGGAGCAGCTAGTGAGGCTGTTTAATTAACACTGCACTTGGCTACCAGCTACCTTGGAGCCAATTTCAGGACATTTTTGTTGCCTGGCAGGTGATATACAGCTGCTGGAGGAGTTCTCCCAGCAATAGGAGACCTTCCCCATGGCAGAGAGACGGCAGGGGGGTTATTCGGAAGCCATGAGTCATCTGTACCTGCATCTGGAAGGACTCTGTCCCCTCCCAGCCATAGCAGGACTTTTTATTCCTCCCTTCTTTGCATGCCAGCCTTGTTTTAATTAGCTGTATTTTTAATCTTTGTGAGCAGAGTGAAATCCCAAGCAAGGAAGTGGTTTTATCCTGCTGGAAAACTTAATTAATGCTCCATCAGAGAGTTTGATTTCCAAGCATGACGAAGGTTTGTGGATGGTGGTGACCCCATGGGTGTTATTTAGCAATGCTGCTGTTTCTCCAGGCTGTTTAAAACATTCTCCTCTTCTCCAGGACTGTGATTTTTACAGGAATCCTCCCTGGGGTGTTTGGAGGGAGGATTCCTGTAAAAAAGGAGGAAGGACAGGCTCCTGTTGATCACTGACTTGTCATCTCTTCCAGGTTGGATCCCAGCTCCTGGAGAGCCATTTCCAGTGTCCCTGCAGCACTGACCTCTGTGCTGGGGGCACAGAGTGGAACAGCTGAGGGAATTATGTTTGCTTCATTCCCAGCAAGAGCCAAGGGCTGGAAAAATGGAAAAAAAAAGTCCAAAACTGCTGAGAGCTCTGTCACTGGGAGCTTCTGAATCCAGCCCAGGCACTGTGACCTGCCCAGGCTGCCTGGCTCTGGGTCCAGGGGCTCCCAGGGAGGCTGGAGAGTTGTGCGGAGCCCTTTCCCTGGGGTTCCCCTGGAATCACCTCTGGATGAGCCCTGGGGAGGGCAGGCAGGGGCTGCAGTGCCAGCAGGGGATACCTGTGGGCTGTATCTCCTGCCCATCAGCCCAGCTCTGGGCTCATCCCCTGCAGGAGCAGCAGATCCCTGGAGAACAGAGTGCAAGGACACCCTGAGCTGCAGGGAGGGAGCAGGAGCAGCTCCTTTGTCTCCACTACCTGCTCAAGCCCCAGGGCTGATCCAGGGAGGGTGGCAGGGACACAAACAACACCACGGTAGCACAGCACAGATGTTTATTTTGAATCCCAAATATTTATGATCAACACCTGGTAAATGGCCAGTGAAATACATTTGATGGTGTCATTAATCTGCTATAAAGCTTTTGTATTTTTAGAGTTGTTTGCACAGCGTTGACTCATCCCTGCCTGCCAGGAGGCTGCAGGAAGCTCCCCTGCCCTTTGTCTTCCCTGCCTTTTGCTCCTGCTGCTCAAATCCAACAAGGGCTGAGTGGGATCTCACAGCAGCACACCCAGGGGGACATTCCTGCTGTAATTCCTGCTGAATACACTTACCTGGTGGTGGGAATGCACCTGGGTGAGGCTGGGTGGGTTTTGTGTTCCGTGGCTGAATCCCAGAATGGTTTATCTTGGAAAGGACCTTAAAGCTCATCCAATTCCACCCCCTGCCATGGGCAGGGACACCTTCCACTGTCCCAGCTTGCTGTCCAGCCTGCCCTTGGACACTTCCAGGGATGATCCCTGTGTCCATGTGGCCGCCAGCCCCATGCCAGGGGCCCTGCTGGGCACGGATGCTGTCGCTGCCAAGGAGCTGTGAAGTGCCTGGTCTTCCCTGAAGAATTAATTTGTATTAGAACTCGTTATCATTGGTGAGATTTCTTTTAGTTAACGAGCAAAATGAATTAATGAGTCAGTCAGAATAAATTGACACAGAGGCAAGGAGGGGAGAGGGTGAGGCAGACCCGGGGAGATGGTGCCCAGAGGGACAGCTGGATTTGATAGGGACATAAGGAATAAAAGCAGGAGAAGAGGGCAGGGTAAACAAGCTCCTTCTCCTGCCAGGCATGGAGCCCTCCTGCTTGTGTCCAGTGGTGGCTGCATTTTTAGGGAATAACTCAGGTGGGAACTCTGTTTGCCATGCATCCAACAGACCCTGCAGATGTGGCCACGGGCCCTCGGCAGCTTGTGCCTCCACGTGGGGCAAAGCAGAATCAGAAGAAGCTGCTCCAGGGGACTTCAATCAAATATTTAAATCATTAATCTGGATCTTCCCTGTGGTGTGACTTAATGAGGGTCCTTGGCATTTTCTCCCTCTCATTGTGAGCAGATTTATTTTTCACTGGATAGCCCAACATCCACAGTTGGAAAAAACCAAGCCAACGCTGAGCTACAAGTGAGGGACACAGGTGAAGGGTCCTGGCAGGGTGTGGGACACTCCTGATGACATCTCTGCATCAGTGAATTCCAGGGAATTGTGGAATTGTAGAATATCCTGAGTTGGAAGGGACCCACAGAATCATGGAGTGGTGCCAAAATCCAGGGAATGCATCAGTGCCACTGCACATCCCCCATCCCAAACAGCCCCTCAGCACCTTCCCAACCTCCAGAGAGAAGCTGACCCCATGGAAAGAAAGGGCTAAAACATTCTGTGACAGCACCATAATGCTGGGAGAGGATGGAGCACTCACCTGGTGTGAGCTGGAGTTATTCCAGGGGCTCAGCGGGGCTCCAGCAGAGAGACATGAGCTGCTCAAAACCCAAAGAGCCACAGAGATTTCAGCTCCTGTGGCTCTGTCAGGGTGTGCTAAAATTCCTAATTAAGCCCCCTCGTCTGGAGGATGAGGTGGCCCCAGCCATTAAAACCCAGCCATGGTTTGAAAACTTAATAGGGGAAATTTAATGGATGAAGTCAATTGAATTATTCATCCCCAGAAAGCTTGTACAAATATCAAATGCTTATTAGCATTCATGCAACCTGTATGATCTCACAGCTCTGACAGATTAAGGTTGGGGCTAATTGCACCCAGGATGGCGTCAGATTTGGTGCTTGGGATTTTTTAAAGCTTTTTTCCCTCCCCAGCGTGACAAAGAGAATTTCAGATCGATGCCATCTGAGATTTACCCTTGCAGCAGAGCCCCTGTGATGGTTTCCTCCCTCAGCATGGTGGTTTTTAATCCCTGCTTGGTTCCTGCTCCTCCAGGGGTGCTGAGGTGGCTCTGGGCCAGCCCAGATGGACACAGCCCCCATCCCTGCGGGCTGTGGCTTTGCTGGGATGGAGAGTGCTGGGGCAGAGTCTGGCTGATTAATGGACAGGACTGAATGGCCATTAAAAATGCAAAATAGAAATCGATCCAATTAAATAATCATGACTTGCATTTAGCCCGTGCTTTTCACTTCCGATCTTAAGCGAGGCTTGCAGTCGGTCCGGGGGGAAATTGCTTAATGCTGCAGAGATTTAATCAACAAAATTAACGCTGCTGATGTTAAATAGTTTCTCTGGCCATGGCCAGGTTTGGG